TTTTTTTTATGACGTCAAAAACACTACAGGGCGGACACGCAGTCATTCACAAAGAGACTGACACTGATTAGAGCTGAGGTCAAGACTGAATGGAATGAATATAGTCAAAGAAAGTCATAGCTATTTTTGTCGGCATCCAAACATGTGAAGCAAAGATGAAGTTGTCCAAATAGAATGAACTGGAGTTTGACCTCAGTGTCAGTGGAAAATTAAGAAATCCAGATGTTGCAAGATCAGGCTCTGGGTTAAAAGTTTTGATTTTTGGATAAATATATCTCACATAAAAGCACAAACATGTCTTTGCAAAATATTATTAGCAACAATTTAGCTATTTTAAACATTTTATATATTTTTTTGGCTTTTTCAGATTAACCATTAGTAGTGCTTTGGCATGTTTTTTTTTAAATGAAAAAAGTACACCTCTTATTTATTATACTTTGTTTAAGTGTATTATGTTACAGTGCATTACCTGACCTACTCCAAATCATTTAGAACAGTTAGGTTATAGTAACTCTATCCCTGTCTCCCAGGAAAAACTAAACTTTGGCAAAACATACAAAACTACTAGATAAATAAAAAAGGATGAAGCCACTAAAGTTATCTTTGAAATTGACCAAAATTAGCGAAAGTCAATCCAGAAAAGGTTAGTCGTCTAATTGTACAAAACACTGCTGGTGCTTGCCTTACACTCACAGAACAGAAAAATGATCAGTCGACCTACCTTACCCTCAGGGACTGACTCTGACTTCTGTGTTGTGTTCTTTCAATGGGCCTAATCCTTTACCATTCACATGGTATAGCTCATAGAAGCCCATATAGGCTGATTGGGATTATTGGATTATTAGAATCTATATGTTTACATACTAACGCCAGTATTGTCAGGGTATAGAGAATTTCTAACGATTTTGTTTTGTTGTTGCTGTTTTGTTAACATTGTTTCGATAAATAAACACTATTTATCCAGTGTAAACTCCTGTTTAATCCCTGATTGTGCCCTGATCCCAGACTGAGCTTCAGTTTCAGTTTGAGGAATGTTGAGCTCTGCCTGGCTCCCACTGTACAAACATGCAGATAAATCACATGCACTAAGCATGTGTTTGCAGTAGAACGTTGCTGAGTCATTCGGCTGCGCATCTGTAAATGCTGCTATTCTTATCTGTGTAGATTTCACGCCTCTTGTTATGAAGGAAAGATTGTCCTTTTATGTTTCTCTACTTTTCCTTTTTATCTTTTGTTTGTTTGTGTGTGTGTGTGTGTGTTTGGAGCATTTCTTCCACTGTAACTGATTTTATTAGAAAAAAAAGTACTTTTGAATAACTACTCTAAACATTGATAAGAGTGACCCAGTGTTGACCTTACCTCTGTCGATGCTTGTTGCAGCTGTTACAGTTTTGAAACAGGAGCATATGTACCAACATTAAGGTTTACAGTGTAAACTAAATGTGTATTGTGTGTATTTGTATTTTTACTTTTCATAACTTTTATTTTAAATCATTATATTATTTTAAATGGTATTTATTTATTTCTATGTTTTGTTTTGTTTTTTACAAACGTGCCTCCTCCTTTTCCTGAATAGTACCTTTTCCAGCCAGTAGGGGCGCGCAGTCGCAGCTCAGCGGCGCTTCTTTCCTCTCGTTATTGGACAACCACTGTGACAGGACTCGGAGCGTCTGAAATACACATGTAGACTCACAGACACCACAGAAGATTCCTACTTTTTATCTTTCGTAGTGTTGCGCGCGCGCGTGTGTGTGTTTGAGAGAGAGAGAGTGTGTGTGTTTGTGTGTGTTTTACCGCCCCTCGTTGGTGCTGCAGTGCGTTTAAGGTGAGTCAAATCTGCTGCTGCTCAAATGTATGAAAAGTTGCTCGTGGACGCGCCCTTTTTCATTGTCCGAGAGTGTGTGTGCGTGCGCGCGCGTGTGGAAAAAGTACAGCAGTACTCGTGACACTACTTACACTGGTCACAGCTACAGTAACGGCTGCAGTTAGCTAGCATATTCCAACTTATTATTTAGAACACGAATGTTATAGCTTAATTTTAATGATTGTATTATTATCGTTACCTTTCTTGTTGTTCATTCAGTCTGTTTCCTGACTTGTTGAGCCGCACACTCCCTGAGGGGGAAAAGAAAACTAGTTTTTTATGAGTCGGTGTGTGTTGCTTTTGTGTGTGTGTGTGTGTACGTACTATAGGGACCATTACTGCAACAGTAACTGATTTAATTGGAGAAAACTATGCACCTGCAAACTCAAAAAGGTAGAATACACATGAGTTACTGTATTAAAACATAAAACTTCATTAAACAGCTCCCCTCAGACACTTTTTCATTAGCATGTAGTGAAGTATTCTGCTGCTGCTGCTGCTTCACTGCTCTCTTCCTGTATTTTCTTTTTTTCCTATAGTCCTTCTACAGAAAGGAAGACCCAGAATGTTGCATCGATGTCACTGTAAAATAGAGAGCTGCTGTTTAAAACTCAAAGAGTAGTTTTAGAGCAGGTATCGTCAGAGTTAGCGTTGGTCGTACATTTAAAATGAAAACCTTTCTGTGTTACGGATTGTACATTTCAATTTTGATTTTGTGTACATATTTTATCAATTGCAGTACATATTTTGTAACTCTCTAGTCCAGGGGTGGCCAACCAGTCAGAGGCTAAGAACCAGTTATACAGTGCCCTTTGGAAATTCTTGGTCGATGTTAGCATGGAGATTTGAAGCCCTGAAATGTGCTAATGATGCCTGACATATAAGGCAGAATGGTGTTAGATTTCAGTGGTTTTCACATTTGGTTGGGTCTGCAGCAGGAAGATGCTAAGACACCAAAAGGCTTTCCCGAGCACAGTCACAGCCCCACACATTCAAAGAGAATTTCCACAAATTCTTTTCATACTAATGAAAATTAGTACTAAAATAAATAATAATATGATTGGCCACAAGAGGCCTAGCCTCTCTCTTCCATTGGCCTACAAGATTTAAGCAAACACCCGGGAAGTCAAAAACCACCACCACCCCACAGGTATATAAGCGTAAACAACTAATGATACTTTAGAAATTATTCTTGAGAATTAATTCTTAGGAAGTTTTAGTTCTTGGATTTGCGTATTAACAACTGTTGTACGAGATTTCCTTGAATACTTCTCCAGTCGTTTATTTTGCTTTATTGTTGGACCTGTTTTGTTTGACGTTTTGCTATTAAAACGTATCGACCACCTACCGGCTGCTTCCATTCCTTGCCTGAAGACACCTGGCACAGCAAGACTCTTTTGACTGGTGTTGTGATCCGGATCAAAATATAGCAAGAATCTTTCAATGGCTTGCCATTACATTCAACAAAAAAACTCTCCCACTGTTAAAAACATCCAGTCTTCATCTAAATTTTTATTTATTTATTTTTTGTAATTTGATGTGAATGTAAGCGCAGCATGAAACCAGGCAACTCCAAGTCCAACTTTTTTCTTTTAACCTTTAGCTCTTCTATTAGCTGCCTTGTATTTTACTAATTCTAATTTTACTCAGCCTACTTAAACGTTTCTTTATTTTCACCTAACTTTGGTTTATATGGGGGGGGGGAAATATTTTTCTATCTTCTTTGCAGCAATCCATTAGTAATTCTCTTGTTGTGTCATCCATGGAAATGTGTTAGTTTGTGGTTCAGTTATAAATTTCCATGTGAAAGCAATTTTACTTTTTCTGTTCCTCTAATGTCATTGTTGAAAAACAAACGTGTCGGAGACCTTTGTCCCCTCACGTCAGCTGGTGGAGCGGCTAAAAGATGACATGGCATTAGATCAGCTGGAGTCGCAGCTGGAAATGTGACACGGACACGTTAGATCAGCCATTGGGGAGAGATATGTTTCTACGTTAAAGGAAGCAGACGGTGGTTCCTTATTGGATGTGCTGGAAATCGACTGTAGCTGCAGGTTGAAGGTAATTTGATTGGAACAAACATACAGTATCCAGGTTGTGCTGGTGTGTCTGTCTGTGCATGACTAGAGTCTGTAAATGTTTAATCCTTTCCTTCTGTGTCCGTGTGCGTTTAGCTCAACGCTGAGCTCAAAAGGAATCAAGTATTTGTGTATGTAACTATAATATGATATAGATTTTAAGCATGTGTTATTGTTTGCCAGGCTGTTGTGTCTAATTGTGCCTGTCTTGGCTACTTTTAGCTGTTTCTGGCATAACTTTTGCTCTTCGAAAGGGGGGGGAAAATCCTTTACAAATTCAGTTCAAATTCAAAATTCTCAAACAATTGAAATATTTTGAGTAAACGTCCTTTTAAACTGCTTTGCTGGTGACTTGTAAGAAATTCTTGGGTAACTAACACAATGTTATTGTTAGAAGTTATACAGTATACAGTACCTGTATTTTTAGCTACTTTTCTAAATTGTCTTTGCGGTCACTTCTGGATGACTTCTTAATTCTTTTCTTGTTTAACCTCAATGCTTTGCTTATGTTTTGATAGTTTTTATATGTTTAAATATAAAACATATAATATGTGGTTTGGCTGAAGTGGAGTAATTTGTTATGATTTAAAACTCACTTTTAACAAATACAACTCTTTTGCTGTGTAATGTTAAGCTGTTTACTGACATTTTAGCTAACTGTTAGCTATTTCTAAGATTTTTTATAGTCAATATATATGTTTAATTTTTTAGCTATCAGCTTTATTATTTCTGGGACATTGAGCTAACTTCTACCTGGCTATTTTTTTCCCTCTTTTGCTTTACCCATCACAAAAAAATTTAGGGAAAAAACAAACAATGTAGAGCATTTTACAGAAGAAATGTTAGCAAATTCTCTAAAAGTTTTTGCAGTTTTTGCAGTTTTTGCACATGGTGGCTTAGTGGATAAGGAAGTGGACTTGGGTCCGGAAGGCTTCAGGTTCAAGTCCACCAGCTGCCAAGTTGCCACTGAGGTGCTCTGAGCATGGCACTGTCCCCACACGCTGCTCCCTGGATGTTTAAAGCTGTCCAGATGACATTTAAACATTTCAGAGCCTCTTTTTATACATTGCACAATTTTGGTCATATGACCGCCAAACTGGTCAGCTGACTGTAGGGTGAATGTTAAAGGAGCAGGATAGTAAACATGTGTCTTTTTTTAACCTAGTTTAGATAATTTAAATAATTTCATATTTAATATTTTTTGTTCCAAAATTCAGCTTTGTTGTGTATGTTTATTTACACAAAAGTAAATTTAACTATAGGTAGCTAAGTTTATTTTTATTTCAAGTTTTTCGTTTTCTTAATTAAGTGATATTAAAGCGTTTCTAGAAGGCATCTAATTTGATTTTATCAAATTACAATTTTAAACACTGACTATGTTCACTTTAGCCAAGATAAAGTTCAGTAAGATCGAACAGTGTCATGACAAGGAATCATTTTATTGTATTTACTTATACTAGACTTGACTTGATTGGACTTGACCTAATTGGATTAAACCTGACCTGATTTAACCTGACCAGACCAGTCTAAGCCAACCTTGGCCTGGTTAGTCCAGGTTGGGCTTGGCTAGGCTTTAATATGTCATTTTTTATTATTATTATTTTCATGAATAAAGATGTTGTAAAATTTGTAAATCCAACGATGTTTGAATTTACACTGAGAGACCTAGATCTCATGCACTGATACCCAAACATGATGATCACTTTCAAGAATCTATTCCACCACATCACAACACATTTGCCTTTCTTGGTCAAACTGCAGAAGTGAAACCCCCAGCAGTGACGCCAGCCATAGGGTAAATTAAAAAACCCTCCAAAACTCATGTCTTTCTTCTTCTTTTCTGCAGGACAAGCAGTATTTTTCTGTCAAGAATTATTGGACGATTCTCTAACTTCAAACTCCTCCTGTGAAACCACACTCACGAAGACTGTCGCCATGGATTACTCTCCAAATCTTCAAACCTGTCAAAAGTGGACACACACAAACACAATCGTCATGGTTTGAAGTGGACACACACAAACACAATCGTCATAGTTTGATGGGATTAACACACACACTGTCAGTCATGTTGGACTTAGGATCCAAGGATCAAGGACTAGGATCTTGTGGTGTAACGTCAGTCTTCATGCTCATTCACCCACTGGATCTGTACAGAGAAAAGCATGACCTCAGTCTGTTTCCAGCTGCAACTGGGTTTTTTTGTGGACTGTTAGCACTGCCTGCTGGCTGCTGCAGGAATCACCAATGGATAGAACCGTTCAATGTTTCAAATCCTGCATGTTTTGGGGATTTGTCTACTTTTTAAATACATTGTTGGGATTCATCTGCAAGTAAACGACAAAAAAACAAACATGTCCTGAAAAGAAGTTGATGTTTACAGGACCAAAATATTTGAAGCTCTACTCCTAATGGAATAAAAACAAAAAACAACTACGACTTTAAAGACTGAAAAAAGACATTTACATTTATCACATTTGGTTTACTCCTCCCACAATGCATTGTCCTTTGAGGAAGAAACGCCCGAAGAGAGATTCTGATTTCTCAGCTATCGTGGTTCCCTCCATGTACGGCTCTGGTTATCTGGACTACACCGTGGAGACTCACGCTTCCAAGTCCATGAAGGTCATGGATGAGTTCAGGCAACACGAGATGTTGTGTGACCTGGTTCTTCACGTCACCTACAAGGAGAAGACAGTGGACTTTAAGGTAGCCATGGTTTGTTTCTACCTAACTATAACTTCTAGTATTCATTCATTTTGAAGCAAAATTTCAACATGCTTTATACAGTATTTCTATTTGATTTGGAGTTATCCACTGTTTACATTTTAAATGTCAGTTTAGCCAAATGTTCACTTACTTGTGGCTAACAGTTACCTGTGTTCTTTAGCCCATTTCTTAACATTTGTGTACCCAGGTTCACAGGGTGGTCCTGGCCTCCTGCAGCCCCTACTTCAGGGCCATGTTCACCAGCAGCTTCAGAGAACGTCACGCCACAGAGATCACCTTACCTGACGTTTCCCCTCAGGTGGTGGGAATGCTCATCGACTTCGCCTACACCTCCCACATCACGGTGGGAGAGGAATGTGTGCTTCACGTTCTCCTGGGTGCTATGAGGTAAACACACGTAAACAGTAGCAGGCTGAGATGGAAAGATAATCCTCATTGGTAACAGATGAAAACACACAAACACACTCTGTCTCCAGTTCCCCCCGGTTAATAATCCCTTTAAGGTTAAATATTGTAACTTCCTGTGTTTTTTTTCTTCTATAAGATATCAGATGGAGGACGTAGCCAAGGCCTGCTGTGATTTCCTCAACAAACATCTGGAACCTGCTAACGTCATCGGCATCGCCCGATTCGCAGAGGAGCTCGGCTGCACAGAGCTGCACCAGAAATGCAAAGAGTATATCAACACACACTTCAGTGAGGTGAACTGCAAATGTCCACTGTACACACCAACGAAAAACATATTTGTCTCATAGTCTTGTCATTTTCACTTAATCTGATCGTTTAATTCACTTTGTACCAAAACCTGATTGCAGAATTATACAACAAGTAGTCCACACCAGGTTCAATTATAATGACCACAAGAGTATATATAAACATGAATTGAAATGAATGATTTCATTTCTTCGCCATCATAAACTGAATGTGTGTGTGTTCTTGTGTGTCAGGTGACCAAAGTGGAAGAATTCTTCAGTCTGAGTCACTGCCAGCTGCTGGAGCTCATCAGTCAGGACAGTCTGAAGGTGCTCTGTGAGTCTGAGGTATGTTGCTTCACCGTTGAAAGATGGCGGCTCTATTCGATCTGTACAATTACTGTATGAGTGTCAAGAAGTCGAGAAGTTTTAAGATGGAGGTTGTCATTTTTCAACACGTCTAATTTTGAAAAAAATAAATAAAAAAGTATATATGAAGACGTCTGTCTCAGGCATATATAGTGTTTTATGAAATCAGTCAATAACCTGAAAATAAATGATATTGAGATCCACAATTTTCTTAGAACTTTTTGACTTACTCTCATATGTCTCTTGTCAAAGCTTTTTGACTTACTCTCATATGTCTCTTCTCGTCAAATCCGACTTTATTTTAAGTTTTCGTTTCTACACAACAACAGGTGTATAAGGCCTGCACAGACTGGGTGGGCTGGGATATGGAGGGCAGAGCCCAATATCTACACGCTCTCCTGAACGCAGTTCACATCTACGCTCTGCCTCCAAAGTTCCTAAAGAACCAGCTGCAGTCCTGCCCCATCCTCAGTAAGGTAAGATTTGCTTAGCT